AGATAAAAATGGAGGTATGTGTTGCCATGCATGATTTTTCTCACATCTCTTAAAATTCTAGATATGAATTGGGAAACGTTTGTAATCGGCGCACCGGGCCGAACATCGGGCCGGTCGCGCTCGCTCGCGAATATGGGCCACCAATCGTTTTCTTATCCACTCACGAAGGAAGCGACGCATCCACTCGTTCCTTTTCGTTTCTACTTCTTCCTTCGCGTCTTCTCCAATAGTTTCTCTTCCCCTCCCTCGTCCTCACAGAAAGCCACCATGGATCCACTTAATTGTGATCAAGCTTTTGTTCGTGTTGCGCCTCTCTCCTCCATATAGTACTCCGCCATGGATCCCAAGAGGCGGATGCTGGAACCAACATGTTTTTTTGCTGGATCCAACATGTGTTTTTGCTGGAACCACCTTGCGCCATTTATGGAGCCACCAGAGCATCGGTGTTGCGACGGGGCGCATCACGAAGAAGCGTGTTGGATGCTGGAACCGGCACCCATTGTTGCTGGAACCATCAAACACGGATGCTTCGAACGGGGAACCTCGATGCGTTGCGACGATGATGGGTGTGGTGACCGTCGCCAGTACAGGATTAGCAACCAGCGGCAAAATTTGCTGGAACTAGCAGCAAAAAAAGCTACAACCGCCTGCAAAATAAGCTACTACCGGCACTGAAAAGTCTTGCTTTGCTAGCACGCACCACCGGCGTCACAGTTTTGCTACCACCGTGTCGCCGTTTTGTTACAACCGGAGTTTCTTTTTGCTACAACCGGCGGCCGACGATGCTAGAACTGGCAGTGCGACAAACTACAAGCGGCAGACAGGGAATGTTACAACTACATCCCTTTTTTGCTACAACCACATCCTGTTTTTGCTACCACCGGTGACTTTTTTGCTACATGTGTGGCAGACGACGGGCGCCGATGCTTCAACCTGACATGGAAAAAAGCTTCAACTCACCAAGGAGAAGCTACAACCGGTGGCGGAAAAAGCTTCAACAGGCATAGTGGAAAAAGCTTCAACCCCCATGAAAAAGCGTCACCCGTGGAAAAATGCTTCAACCGGCGAAACAAAAGCTTCAACCAGAGGCTAAAAAAGCTTCAACCGGGGACGAGTCTGTGGGCGCATGAGCGGCGACAGCGATGAGCGGCGACGGAGAGGGAGAGGACGGGGGTGCTGCGACGGCGAGGGAGAGGACGTGGATGCTTTCTATTCTTGCCGGAGCACACGCACGAGGTGGCTGGGGCAGGGACACATCGCGTCGAATGGATCTGAAGCGTGGGGAGGGAGGAAGAAGATGATATGACGTGGGGGGAGGGGGGATCGGACGGCTCCTGCCTGCCAGATTGCACGGCTGCAGGCTGACCGGCCCAAATTTGGGCCGGTGCGCCGGCACGTATCGCTGCCCTTATGTAAATCAGTACCTCTCTTGGCTGCAAAACTCTGCACTAAACCTAGGGGGTCACCACAGGCTGCACAGCTAACTAGTGTAGCAACAGCATAATCCAAGGACAGTACATAAAACCAAGATCACTATTGGCATGTGCAATCGATCAGTTCGTACAAAAAGGGGCAAAGCAGCCAAAACTCTGCGGACCTGGGAGAGTGGGTTTGGTGGAGAACTCGGGGATGGAGAGGAAGCCCTTGGCTCTGCGGTTGAGCTGGCAGAACCGCTCGTACCTGCTGCGAGACTTCAGCTCAAATGGAAAAAAACAGCAACACCACATCAATTAATTCTGGTAATCGTAGAAAAAAGTCTTGTGTTTCTGTTGACACTACCGATCACCAACACAACACACTTGTGCTGCTTTCAATATAAGATGGGAAATGGCTTCGCTGCTCCCTGAAGATCGACTTCAATTTCACAGGCAACCTGGACCGCATCGAAAACAGGAAAAGGAAATGTTGGATGTGTTAACTTCTGAGCTGAGATAGCATACCATGACCCCATGCAAATTTCTTGTAATGAGGCTGGCCTTAAATAACGTGATACCTTTTCTGATGAACATAACCAAATTGTTGCCCTTAACATGTACTTAAAACATACCAACAATGAAAATCCTAGAGGCGAACTGGTTTTCAGGATTTGACAGAGAATTTTCATGATGCCCTTGTTCCCAAATCACCAAATTCTCAAGGGCATGGGTATTGATTCTTATACCTGCAGAATTCCTGGTAACAAATCTCTTCTTTTTCTTCATTTCCAACTAGTGTCAACCCTGTTTTTTTGACGCATAAGGAGAAGGACAAAGGGGAGAAAATAACAGGACCAGCAAAGATGCAATGATCAAGATACCTGATAAGAAAGCACTGTCTGATTAACAGGCAGAGTAGATAAGAGAATGTGTTGACATCTCCTCAAGAAATAATATAACCAGATAACGTACGGAGAACAGGTCCTGCCAATATACAGTTCAAAAATGCCATTCAAAACCTCTTGCCAGGCCCCTGGAGGTTACATTCCTCTTGCCATCAATGTCATACACTTTAATGTCACTGTTTTGTGAATGTAGATTGGCAGTCAGTCTACATAAATGTCGCCCCCTTACCAATCTACATCAATACCAGAAACATGAGTCACACTCGACCTTTTGCTGAAGGTAGAGAGAAAAAAAAAAGAATAAGATCCTTAAAGTTCAGTCCACAACCATACATCCTCTGAGAAAGAATAGAAATGGAAGATAAAACCAGTCTGATGTCTATACCTGGCACTGATGAATCTCCTTATTATAGCTTCGACATTCGAAGGTTTAAGTAGAGCAATCCCATGGTGTCAGTTATTTGCAAACACAGTGTTCATTTCTATTTTATTTTTGGCAAAACTGCATGGTGTATGATAAATCTGATACACAGCTGCAAATCTTTCGTAGGCAGCCTTAACCACACACAGGTCATGAAAAGAAAAATGTTGGACGATTTAATTGTCTAAACTGAGGTAGCATCCCATGAAGCCCATGAAAGTGTTGGACGATTTAATGTGACTGGCCTCAACCAGTGTGACACCTCCTCTGGTAAAGAGAAGCAAAACGCTGTCCTGAACATGTACTTAATACATTACCGAAAACAACAGTCCTAGAAGAAAACCGATTTTCATGATTTGATAAGAATTTCCATGATGCCCCTGTTCCCAAATCACCAAATCCTCAGGAGAGTGTGGGTATTAATTGTTATACCATATCCTGTAGAATTCTTGGTAACAAATCCCTTCTTTTTCTTCACTTTCCAACTAGTGTCGACCCTGAATTTGAGTCACAAAGATAATAATGCAAAAGGGATAATTTCCTTTTGACTAATAGTAAAAGGTTGCATTACACTGAGTATTATCTTTGCACAGTATAGGCATATGCTACTTTAAACAGCTGAAGATATGAAGAAACCTACAACTCAGTATCAGGGCCCCCTTCAGAAGTTAGCTCACTTGATGGGTTGATCATGTTAGGATACCAAGGGACCTGTCACATTGGTCTTCTGTTTATTCAGTCAGTTACTTGCGAGTTAATGTACTACGCGATGAAATGGAGGATTTGTATGAAATAAGAACCTCTGTTTGCTGCCCTGAAATAGGAGTTTGCACTTATGTGTTACTACTCAGTACTAAGCGGAAAAGTATGTATGCTCACTTATGTGTTTATGACGGAAGGGTGCCAATTATTTGAAGAAGAAATAAGGAAACAGTCACATCTGTTGTTGTTGTAAAAGTGCAATTGCAAGGTGAAGGTACTATGCAATGAAATACAGGTTCAATAGAAATAAGAGCCGCTCTTTGTTGCTCTGATAACGATGAGCCTGTTAGTTACTTGCGAGTTAATGTACTACGCGATGAAATGAGATACAGGATTTGTATGAACCAGGTCCTTGAAGGTAACTTTTGCCTTCCCAAAAATACCATACACCTTAAATATCACTGTTCCATGAAACATAAAACCAAATCAATACTAGAAAATGAGTTATCATGAAGACCAGGGTGTCCATAACAAAATATACACTAGTTATCAAAATAGCAAAGTAAATATTTAAATTCAAACTTGACCAAGCATTGTGCTCAATCTTTTGCTGGCGTTGAAGTTCAATCCATCAACTATGCATAGCAACCTCTGTGAGAAAGAACAGAACAGAACAGAAATGAAAGAACACATTACCTACAGCCACTATCCTAGAAGCACTACTAATTTTCATGATTTGATGAGTATTTTCATAATGCCCCCTGTTCTGAAATCACAAATCATCAAGGGTGTGTGGGTATTCATCATTATACCATATCCTACAGAATCTTTTGGTAATAAATTTCTTCCTTCTCATTTCCAACTACCGTCGAACCCGAAATTTGACTCACAAAAAGAATGCGAAAGGGAGGAATTTACAGGACTAGTGTGTGTAGATAAAACGATCAAGCTATCTGATAACAATTCACTCGTTGATTAACACGCAGAGTAGATAAGAGACTACTTTGACATCGCCTTGAGAAAGAGCAAGCACAAGTGTTCTTCACTACTCATCCTAAATGCATGGGAATGGGAAATAATATAACAAGAAAACTAACATCAACATGCCCATTTCAGGCTCAATTGGCACAGATACCTGAAAATACTCATGGATGAAATCATGTACCACAAGAATTAAGTGATCATAACATAGGTCAACAAAGTTCAGAAACCTGGAGCATCCGATGCTAAAATAAGCACAATGTCTGATGAGTGATGACAAAGACCTTAAACCACGATGTTCAGAAACCATGGAGCACCCAATGCTAAAATAAGCAAAATAATCTGATGACAAAGACCTGAAACCACAAGTTACCATTGCCAAAAAATCTGAGCACTCTATGCCCTCTGATCAATGCACTTCCCGGTTAATCCACACAGTTGAAGAGATGCAATGAACTGACGAAACAGGGGCAAAATGTGGCAACATTTTGCATCTCGATAGTCAATTAGGATAGATGTAGCGATGTACCGAGTATAAGACTGCTAGCCCATTACCACTCTGCATTGATCACTCAGCTAATGCCCCAAGGACATGGCCATCAGCTTGACCATAAGAGATGGGCAGCTCACGCTAAGATGTTGTAAGCCATCGGTGGCTACGGTTGCCCTCAGATTTGTCGGAGCCGCAAGAAAATCGAAGCACGCCTTCTTCAACCCCTCACAGTGATGTTGCTCGGCTAGTAGCAGGATAGTCGCTGCAGTGCTGACGTCAATGTACTCACACAGCTTCTCCTCACAGATCAGCTTCAGCCGGTCCATTCCATACCTGTCTGCCGCGACGAGCAGATGCTGGCAGGTGACATCTTCCTCTTCCTTGCGCATCTCAGGCAACAAGCCGGTGTACACGAAACGGAGCAGCGCCTTGAACACCTCCGCCTCCATGTCTTCCACGCGCACAATGCCGCTTTCGACCTTGCCCTCCTTCATTGGTCCGAAGAGCTCGGCTGCGAAGACTGACGAGCGGGCTGCCAGCACACACCGGTGCGCGGCGATGGTCTCACCCCCAACCTCAAACACCACGTCGGCACCTTTCTCGGCCTCGAGGAGCTTGCCAAGGTCCCCCCGCAGGTCGCACGGGGGCACGGAGACGAAAGCCGCCGCCGCCGCATCCTGGGCGCGGTAACCATGGACGACAAGGATATCACACCGGACGGTGAACGAGTCGTTCTGTAGATTCTTGGACTTCTGCAGGTCCTCTCTTCTGATGAAGGTGGAGTACCAGTTGTAGAAGCAAGACCTCCTGGACGAGAATGTGACCACCGACGACGACGTCAGCCGCGCCGCCTGAATTTTCTCCGCCTCCCCAGAGAGGCAGAAGCAGTGCTTCGCCTTCACCGCTGCCGCGACATCTTCGTCGAGGATTAGGGAGAGGGATACGTAGTCCGCGACCGCCGAGCTTGAGCCGTTGGGGTAGTAGTCGATGCGCCAGCGGTGGCCGCCGACTGTGAAGGGCCGAGAACTGATCTTCTCTCCGGTGGGAAGGTTCTTGGTGCAGGAGTAGCCGTGGATGGTGAGAAAGTGGTGCCCGCTGGCCGTGTCGGCCACGATGGCGGACCTCGACGGCTTCCCGCCGACTCCGGAGGACGCCATTGCCGACCTGCTCCGCGGAATCGGGCACTCGCAGCTCTCGCGGCGGCGGCGAAAGGGGGAGGAACGGAGAAAGGAGACGAGACTGATGGCGGCTTCTAGAGGAAGCTTTCCCACAAGGGCCAAGGCCCAAATCCCCACCGGGCTGGGCTCCACACGTCATCCTCTGTAATGGCTGGAACGAATTTTACATCTGAGTTTTAAAAAAAAAATCCGAGTTTCAAAAAAATGTCAAACAACCATAAATACGACCATTTTTTACCTGTGAAGAGAAAAAAAGGAAGTGGCACAACTTGGAAAAGTTTTGAAAATTATATTACTAAGCACGGACCAAAAATTGATCATGTGCTTTTTCCAAAATTCACAAGTGTGTGTTGGCATTTGATGATTTTTCTTAGTTCTTTTTTTCTAATTGTAGATATGAATTCTCGCCAAGCTAGCGACAAATACGTGTTTGACTCCGACCAGTAGATATGTTAGGATTTTTGTCCTCGCATGAGCGGCTCAAATGGATGGCGAAGCTTCGTATGTCTTCCGGGCTTCGATCCACCTCGAGTCTGTTCGTCGTGACAAATTCGACGGAGCTCTGACATAGATTTCCGTCAACTCCGTACGACAAGGTTAGTGTTTCTCGTCACGCATATTCCACGGCGAGATTTGGTGTCAAGTTCTTCTAATCGATTCAAGAGTTCAATGACGATGACCACGGATCCGGCGCACGTCATTTAGGGGCGTATGTATGAAGACTTCCTGACTGTTATCGATAAGGCTATGTCGGCTTCGGGACCGTAACGGCGATAGTCGTGTGTCGGTGGCCCATTCAGCCGGCACCGGTGGTCCTTTGGTAGTCCGAGGACCTCAATGTAATTTTTTTTTATTATGTCATGGTATTTTACACTTTGAGTGAATGTCTTTTCCACAAAAGAGGACGAGATTATGATTTTTCACATAAATTATATTGACACTCGCCACAATCATTTTAGGTCCTCTTTGGATTGCAGAGAGTTAAAAAAAGGAATAGAAAAAACATAGGATTAGGATGCCACATATTGAGAACTAGAGGATACCCCAGCCGTTGTTGCGAGAATCAATTGCATATGTTTTGAGTGATTTGATTGTATGAAACATGAATTGTTGAATTAATAATATATAAACTAAAACTAAAATATATATTGTATATTGTATTTTAATATTGAGTTAAAAATATTTATTGAATATAAGGGGCATAATATGAGGGAAAACTTTTTCCCATGCATGTTGAGTGAATCTTTGATGAGGTGGCATGTGTGATGTGGTGGGATGTGTGCATGAGAGCAAGTAATAAGGTTGGTCATGGTGAGAGTAACTTAGCTAGTAACATAACACAATCCAATGCAAATGTGCGTATGTGGCAAGTAGTTAATGCAGTGAGACTTGTTTGTGGTAACATATTAAGTTATTGTAACATAGTGTTTCCAAGAGAAAATTAGTCTACGAGCTAATAAATGAACTCATCTATTCTATGACATTACTACTATCATACTTTGCACTATGAAGGTAGTAATTTAGACTAGTGTCATATGACACTAGTACTATAAGTTACTCCCACTATGACCATCCTAATGGAAAATTTATTTCATGCATGTTATGGTGGGCCTTTCATGAGGTCAACTATTTAGGTGTATGAAACATGAATTGTTAAATTAATAACATATGAACTAAAACTAAAATACATATTAAATATTGTATTTCATTATTGGGTTAAAAAATATTTTTGGAATATAAGTGGCATAATATAAGGGGAAACTTTTTCCATGCATGTTCAGTGAACCTTCCATGAGGTGGTATGTGTGGATGAGATCAAATAATAATGGAAACTTTTTCTCACGCATGTTAGGATGGTCCTTTGATGAGATGGCATGTGTGCATGTTAAGATAATAGAGATAATGGGGATCAACTATTTAGGTATATTGTATTGTATTTCTACATGATATAGATGTCGATTAGGCACGGAGCAAGGTTCCTCCGCTCGTACCCAGCCGCGCGCTAGTGTTCCTCCTGTCTCCCATTGGCGCTGACGCTGGCACCAATCTACCTCATCTCATGTGTTCTTAGGGCCATGGAGGCGTGGTGGATCTCGACCCTTGCCAGCGGGAGGGCTTCATTTTTTATGCTTTTTTTAGCTTCTTAGGGGTTGTGTTCTGCTTAGAGAGATGAGGCGGCGGCGGCTCTCTCAAGATGGAATAAGGTTCTCCATGCCTAGCCCCCGTCTTGGTGGTGCTTCTAGCATCATCAGAGGTCGTGTAAAGGTTTGTCTCTCTGGATCTCGCGGGATTCGGTCGGCGTTTGTCTTCGGTGGATCCACATGGATCCGGTCTTTATCCGTGTGTGTTCATGTGTCTACATGTTGGATCATGCCTATCTAAGCTTCTCTTCAACGACAACGATTATTTGTTCTGGTGCACTGGTTTTATAGGGTCTTACCACGACGACTTCCCGACTGTCTACTACAACAACTTTTGCCCTACTCCAGGGAGGGAAAGGCGGTGATGGCGGCATGCCTTCGGTTCGTTTCAGTGCTTGTAGTCGTCGCTAGGTGGTCACGGATCCGGATGAATTTTTTATTATTTCTGATGTTCATTGTACTATTATGATTGGTGATGAGTAGATTGGAAGTTTTCTCGCAAAAAAATATATTTCTACATGATATAGGACACATAAATTTGGTAAGAGGTGTTTTTGGATGGTATAGAAGGTAAATCATAGGAATTTTGGAGGATTGATGAGAAAGTGTTGAAGGATAGAGTGCAAGTGTATTGGACTTCTCGAGTGGAAAATAAAATGAGGTTTGAGTTCTTGAGATTCCTATGTAACGAAGGACATAGGAATTTAGTAACCCCAATCCTAACACCGCTTCATGTTCGGGGTGAATTTTTTTCTCCCGACCTTTATTCATCGAGCACAATAGCGACGGACTTGGCTTGTTATCTTGTAGAAGGTATTGTGTGTTTGTTGTTGTGTTGGTCTTCATTGGCTCGTAGTATCGACAATCAGGATGAAAATCCTTGTCCAGGACATCTCTAGACATACATGACGATGATTACGCAATAATAATTATGCTTTCTTGAAGGCGTTGTTGTGGCAGAAGTCGACTTAATCATAAGTGTTAATTTCATATCTTGTCATGGTTCAGACGTAATTGGTTTTGTTATGTACTCTGGCTAATACTTCCTCCGTCCCATAATGTAAGACATTTTTTGACACTACACTAGTGTCAAAAAACATTTTTACATTATGGGACGGAGGGAGTAATTAATATGAATGGTTGCGTGCATCATAATGAAGCAGAGACCAAGGGTTTTAACATCATTTTTGAGAAGAAGAAAATAAAGGCTATGATCCAGACTTTTCATAAGAAAAACACATATGGATTAGAATATCTAAATTCTTGTATTTTCCCTTCCAAAGAGGCAAAGAGTGCCTTAAGGAACGAATTTCTAAAAGGGGCTAAACGGACACTCCATTATACCGTATAACGGGGCCACTCTATTCTGTTTCACGTTATATTGGTTGTGGAAAAAAAAAACTGGCAGGGTTATGGTACAATGGAGTGTCCGTTTGCATCGTCATCTTTTGAGCCCAGGCAATTGTTTTCCAGTAGTCACCTCCATCCTTTTTTTCTACTCCCTCCGTTCCTAAATATTTGTCTTTCTACAGATTTCAACAAGTGACTACATACGAAGCAAAATGAGTGAATGTACACTCTAAAATAACATACGGAGCAAAATAAGAAGGAAAGAAGATACAAACAACATTTTGCTGAAGGTAGAGTGGAAGGAGACGACATCCCTAAAGTTCAGTCCATCAACCATACATAGCAACCTCTGCATGAAAGAGGAGAAATGGAAGATAAAAGGCAGACCCATATCTATAATTGGCACTGTGAATCTCCAAAGGAGCTTTGACAGTCAAACATAGGACAAGGAGAATCAACAGAGCCAGTTTTTTTTTTTTTTTGTACAGCATGAGATATGGCATATGAGACACTAAGTTTTACAGGGAAAGAAAACGAGCAGCCGATCTTCTACAGTATGTATTTTTGGCAAAGTAATTATATGGGCCACTGAACTTTGATGGACTACTGATATTACCTTTTTCTGGAACGGAACTTGCTGCTAAATCATAGGTCCTATCCTGAAGACCATGATGCCTTTTGTATGCACTGAAGCTAACCTAAGCTGGAGCCTTTCTTTAACAAGATGTGGAAGATGCCTTCATTTATAGTGATGTTCACGAAATAAATTTTCAGGTTCCACGTGACTTAAACACAAACCATGACAAGATTTTTTATGCTAATCCTCACAGTAGCATAAAAGATCAAGTTACTGGCATTGAGATAGACCATGATCGTCAACAAGAAGGTTTCCAATCAAGATGGTTTTTCCAGAAATTCTGGAGTATCTGCCACTCGATATCTGAGTGACACATCTGACAGTTGTGTGGGGTCTTTGTCTTTGGGCTACATGTCTGAGAATACACCTCCTCTAGATTTTTTTTTGAAAAAGGAGGAAAAACCCCCAGCCTCTGCATCAAGTGATGCATACAGCCATCTTATTAAAAGTAATATAATACACCTCCTCTAGATGGAGTCATAATTTACTTTTACCCACAATTTACAGAGGAACGCAGGGGGTTATAACAATCGGTACCTGTCTTGCTTGTAGAAGAACTATGTTGCAATTTCACACTGGCCTATTAACCAACACGACGCTTCTTCTGATAAACTGAAGCAAAATGTTGTCCTTAACAGTTAACATGTACTGAACACATAACTGACAAGTGACAACGACAATCTTAGAAGCAAGCTGGTTTTCATGATTTGACAGAGTTTTCATGATACCACTGTTCCAAATCACAAAATTCTCAAGGGTATACGTGCAGAATTCCTTGATAATAAATATCCTCTTTTCTTCATTTCCAACTAGTGTCAACCAACCATGTGTTTTGACTTTTGACGCACAAG